CACCTGAAGTKCAAAGGAGTCCAGAAARGCTGGACATTCTTCAAGAGGGAAATCTTAAAGACTCAAGAGCAGGCTGTCCCCATGTCCCAGAAGGTGGCAAGCAAGAGTGGCCTGTCTGAACAGAGAATTTGGACTGGCACTCAGGGAGAAAAGATGATTTTCTGACCTTTGGAAGAAGGGGCAGAAACCTCGGAAGAACTCCAAGSATAATGTGAGCTTGTGGGGGATAAAATTAGAAGGGTCAAAGCACAACCAGAATTCAAACTGACTACTGCCCTAAAGACAATAAAAATGTTTCAGTAAATGCATTAGCAGCAAAAGGAGGGCTGAGGATAATCTCCATSCTTTACTGGATGCAGGGGTAAACAGTGACAAAGGATGAGGAAAAGGCTGAGATGCTTAAAGTGGTTAGCAGCCAGACCAGCTGTTCTCAAGCTACTCAGCCCTGTGAGTTGGAAGACAGGAATGGGGAGCAGAATTAAGTCCCCATAATCCAAGGGGAAATGCCCCGTGATCTGCTTTGCCACTCAGACACACTCAGGTCTATGGGGCCAGGTGGGAGCTGGAGGAACTGTTCACTGAGCCACTTTCCATTGTTTATCAGCAGTCCTGGCTACCCAGGAGGATCAAATGCAACCCCCAYCCACAAGACTGGAAGGAGGATCTGGGAGCAGCAGGCCTGTCATCCTGMCCGTGGTGCTGGGGAAGGACATGGAGCCCATCATCCTTAGGGCCATCACACAACAACGCAGGACAACCARGGGATCAGGCCAGACAGCCTGGGTTTGTGAAAGGCGGGTCCTGCCTGACCAGCTGGGTCTCCTATGACAAAGTGAACCACTCAGGYGGATGAGGGAAAGATTAGGCAAGCTTTTGATGTTTCTTCCCACAKCATTTTTCTGGAGAGACTGGATTCCTATGGCTTGGACTGGCGCACTCCTCACTGGATAAAAAAGTGGCTCGATACCAGGCCCAGAGAGTGGGGGAGGGGTGCTACATCCCCTTGCTGAGCAGCCACCTGTGGTATTCCCCAGGGCTCTGTTTTGGAGCCAGTCCCATTTAATGTATTTATCAATGATTGAGTAAGGGGATCAAATGCACCCTCAGGCAGTTTGCAGATAACAAGCTGGGTGGGAGTGCGAGCTGCTGAAGAGCAGGAAGGCTCTGCAGAGGGATCTGGACAGGCTGGATCCATGGGCCATATGGATTTAAGAATGTGTGAAGAGTTTTTCCACACAGAAGAGCCTGAATCGGAAAACTTCAAATGAATGCTTGCCAGTTAAAGTTCAGCAGAATCAGAAGGATAATTAAAACTTCAGTGTACTGTAGAAAAGAAATACATGGTCATTGGGCTAGGAAACCAAGTATCTAATTAACAYGGCTAACAATAAGCCATTATAGCAATGTTTTATTTAGAAATGACCAAACTATATCTATGTAAAGTAGTCTGACCTTAAGATCATTATATAATTTCTGAAAAAATATTCTCAGAATCAAGAGCAGAGAGGGAGATGTAAAGATTTTAATTGTTTTTCAAAGTTTTCATCTACAAAAATAGATGTCCATCTGAGCACGAGTGAATGAATGCTGATGCCCTTTCTTCTAATTAAACACTTCCCACTTCACTTCTGCTCTGCCAGCTCAGATGAAAGTTTGGAAACSAACAAAGAAGCAAATAGCAAGAAAGTAAAGAAAACTGGAAAGACAGGAGAGGAGATAAACAGTGATGAAATGTATGGGAATTAAAGGCACCAAACAAAGATGCACCCCAACTTATATTAGGGCGATGAGATAAATAAATAAATAAATAAATACCATCAATAAATACCATTAGAGTGAGTCAATGATGTTTTTCAGAGGTTATCTATGGGCAGAAGGYAAAGGTACCCCTTCCCCTGCCTTTTCCTAGCACACTATTTCAGCGAGATCTGTATCTGTTCACGGCAATTTTATATTTCTTAAGCTACCACACAGTGTTCTCATGCCTTAGCCAAAGCTTGTGATACTTGGTACTAGCCATAAATTAGATATTGTCAAACACACAGATGTCAGAAATCCCCTGAGCTTCACCATGCTAAAAGCAGAGAGTATGCATRCTTTAATTTTTCCCTGTAGCTCTAATACTGGCCAATGTCATGGAGAAGATACTGCTCTGATTCTCTGTGGCCATCCTCCTGTATAATAATTGCTTGTATTTTAAAAGGGAAGAGAAGGATCACTGAGTTTTAAATGGTACAAGCAAAATTTCCTAAAACATTTGCTATGGATATTGATTTAATTGTACATGAAATGCAAATCCTCACTGAAGATGAACTATTGAAGAACAGAAATTATGATTTGATATGAATCCTGAAGTAGAGTTGCACAGGACCTAAATGTTCCATCAATTTTAACTGAAATTTGTTTCAAGGATGGAATCTGATCCAAGCGAGTTGCAGGGTGGATCAAGGAGCTCAAAAACTTAAATTTTGTCTTATCTTTAAAGGATAAATGCTAGATTAGACATCACSCAAAGGCCATGCAGGCAGACTGTAGAACTTTCAGATACATAGGAACAATTAATTTATTTAATTCACAACAGTTTTGATTTGAGTTAATGTTAACTAACTCTTGTTAATCCACATAAACTAAAATATAAATCTGTTGACCAGCCTGTTCTGCTGTTGTTTGCTCTATTTTTAGAGTTCTCAGACACTGTTCCTGATTCATTTACATTAAAACATGAAGTAAAAAACAGTTTATAGTTGGATTGTTCCTAATACTTAAAAATCAAGTAATATCTGTGCAATTTAAATGTGACTAGCAATACAGCTTCAAGTTAATCCATGTATGCAAAATGACATAGTAAATTTTAACATCTGCCTGTGTCTATTGAAGCAAAGTAACTAATTTACTGAACTAAAGCTTCTTCATGGTTCTTCACCATTATTGTTGCTATTGGTTAATCAAATAATTTTTTTTTAATTACTATGTCATTTTAATCACTATGGAAGAACTTTGTACTTTATAATTCATACATACTTGCAAGTATAATATATTTGCAATATACTTCAATATACTTGCAAGTATAATACGGCAGAGCAAAGTCCAACAGATTAAGCACAGTGTGAAATAAGGAATATGCAATTTTGCTGCGTTTGAGATAGCACATTGGAGCTGATTTATTCACCTGGACTTATGTAGCAGGCAAAGTACAACTGTAGAGAGTGAGCTCATTCACTTGTGCTCTTTGCCAGTCTTCACCTGAAAGAGGTAAGGAGCCTGCCCAGTGCTGTTTTCCTTGGGTGCTTTCTTAATAATTTATAATACAAATTTCTCTTTTGGAATTAAATTGATTATTGTCAACAATTTCAATGTCTATGTATAAATATAAGTGAAGAAAAAAGGTTGACTCATTCAAAAATACTAAAAGAAAAATGAAACAGTTCAAAAAGAATTCCAGATCCAAGTTCAAATGTCATGAATTTTAATATGCTTTTGATTTAGGGTTTGATTTAAAGTCATTTATCATTTAATATTTCATAATACCAATAACAATAAAAGCTTTCAAGGGAAAGGATACATGGCAGTAGAAAATGCAAATACAGCAGAACTTAATGCTTTAAGGGARGCACTGTGCCAAATTTCATGGAGGGTGATTTTCCAGTTTATTATGATCCCAATGTCCAATGACCAAATTTGCATAAAATAGGAAATTATATTTTAATAGTACATCATAGTTATTGCTGAATAGTTTTAGGTAGAATGAACAATTCTTTTTATTTGCTGGCTTTGTGTATGGTAGGTAGAAAAATTAAACCCCAAACCTGAACTTTATTACAAAGATCTATCTTGGACATTTTTTAAAAAATGTGCTGAGTATTTTTTCACTCTGGAAAACTGTTTGCTGAATCTGCTGCTAAGTCATTAGATTTATAAGGAATGTGGCTTTGTTGCAACATAAGCCACAGTGGAGAAGGGTAGTGGCCTCTGCAGACTCTGTGCTGACGCTGCAGGAAATAAGCTCTGACTGAAGAGCTTTTTCTGCTACATCTATTTTCTGCCTTCAGCAAAGCCACTGTGGGGAGCCCAGTCCTTTGAAAAAATAAATTGGAAAAAAAAGCATTAAAAGAGTTTGGTAAGAGCCTAAGTAAATAAATGCTTGAGACTGTAGGAAATGATTCCGTCTAAGCTGTTGTTGACAGAAACTCCTCTTCAGAGAATCTGGGTTTTGCCTAAGTGAGGACCCCAGGATTTAGACCAGTAAYAGCATAAGCCTTCTTCTGTACTGAATAAAGGATTACTAGACATGTACCCCAAAAGATGGATAAAATGAGGCTCCAAGCTGTTTTGATTTAGTATATTGAACCCTTTGTGGGTTTTGAAGAGGCTAAATAAAAGTTCTTTCTGCTTTCTTTACTGGACTTTKTCTTTAAATCTGATTTAAATCTGTGAACTATTATTTAAACCTATAGATAGAATTCACACAAAAAAATAGTTCAGATTGAGATTTCCAGTGCATGGAAACATTCCCAGCACTAGGAAAGCCATGTCTTTGGGTACTGTTTGAGCTACAGACAATTTAATGTTACTGTTTATGTCCCTTCAATCATTGGYGTCTCCACTGCAGTTTGGATTCAGGGAATAAGAAAAATTCAACTCTGATAATTAAGATATGTGCTTTTTCTTTCGTCATTGCATTACTCTTGATGGCTTTTTGCCACACTCAGGATTGTATTATGTTTCATTGCCCAGCATGGCACAAGGTGACAGGTGAGAGGTGTCCGAAGTGTCTCAGCACGGTGCTCTGTGTCAGAGAGCTTGTCAGAAATGGGGTGTGAGGCATCAGGAAAGGAGAATTCTTCAAAGATGGGACAAGCTAGTTTTGACAGAGGCCTACTGTATTGAAGCTCAGTATTTCAGGACTTCTCCTTCAGGACTTTGATACTTRGAGTCACAAATCTTTCCATTTTCAGCTCCTGTCTGTGTTACAGGTCTGCATTGCTGCGGGAGGACTGATTTGGAAGGAAGATGCTGTTGGGGAGCTCAGCAGGTTTCCTGCTGCTCTTTCTCTCTCAATGCACTGTGTCCCTGGGCACCAAAGAGGCTGCAGTCCTGGCYAATGCCCACCTTCTGCCCCAGAGAGACCACGAGACACTGGGCAACGCCAATGAAAAAGGTACTCATGGACACAGCGGGTATTTTGGAAGAGTTCTGTATTTTACTTTGCTTTGCTGTAACATTTTTCAACCAACATATGTGAAAGTTAGCCCTGGAATTCTTTCTTTATAAATGCATACATATACAAATGCGTATTTAAGTAAATTATGTTCTGGCTCTTAGAAACCTCAAAATCAATTGTAAAATTCAGAGAATTATTCCCTAGTCTGAGAGATGCTTGATATTATACTGTAGCAAGAAGTCGCCTTATAAGCGACTTATTTAAAAAACCCCAGAAAATATTTTAGTCCAATGGAAAGGGTCAACCCAAACTTTATATGCCATTTTTATTACCCTCTGTGTCTACTGGATAAGCAACAAAATGGAAAAGCACTTTAACCTATTTTCCTGATACTGGCATTCAGCACTGCACAGAACTGTAGTTCTACCTGCAAATCTGTGATAAAATTTAGTCTGGAGTTTGAGTGAAAAGAACTCTTCTTAATAAAATCCTCAAATGTTTATAAGCTTCATATTAACAAGAAATATGCTTTAATATCTCCCTTTTATCAATGAACATGTCATACATTTCAGAATTTAATACAAGAATGTTACCAGTGCCTAAAGTATAAATTGGGTAAAGAGAAATTAATTTGTTCATTGAAGATAAGACTAGATGAGACTAGTTATTAAACTCAATTGTCCCCCTGATGGCACAGGGAATTGCAAATTTTCTGAGTACTCAAACTGGAAGAACACCAGTAGCAAAGGAATGATCTGTAGATAGCTTCTGGCTTTTCAGCCTTAATTTCTGTTCTAAATGCAAAATCACACTTCTGTTGTACAAACAGGGTAACAAACAATTTTTTAAATTTTTGAATATTTTCTTCATGTTCCTGCCTGAAATCTTCCCCCTTGATCTGAGTAAGTGCCCACTAGCTGTGTTGAAGTCAATCAGCTTCCAGTCAGAAGGAAGTTGTCCTGTCACTCTCAAGGACAGAGTTCAATTTCTTAAATCTATTATTTGAACAGGGTTTAWTTTTTKTTGTTGTTGTTTTTTACTCAGACTATCCAAGGGATTGTTTTGAGATTTTACAGCGCTCCAAAGGAAATTCCAGAGATGGCCTTTACATCATCCAACCAAAAGAGGAACCAATTGTTGTCTTTTGTAACATGCAGGATGGTGGCTGGACAGTAATCCAACACATTACAGCCAACAGTACTGTCGACTTTGATAGGACCTGGCAGGACTACAAATATGGATTTGGCTCTGTTCAGGAGAACCACTGGCTAGGAAATGAATACATGCATCAGTTAACTGGCAGCTCAGTGCAATACATACTTGGAGTCAAACTCGTAAACCTGAATGCTGAAGTTAAATGGGGACAGTATGAGCCATTCCTTATCGAAGGTGAAGAGTCTCAGTACCGAATCAGGGTYGGTCTGTACAAAGGCAACGCCACGGATGCGCTGACCCTGGACACAGAAGCTTATCTCCATGACAACCAGAAGTTCACCACCAAGGACAGAGACAACGACAACTATTTTATGAATTGTGCTAAAYTGGAACTCAATGGCATTCCCGGGGGAGGCTGGTGGTATGACGCCTGTGCTGGAGCAAATCTGAACCGCAGGAATGTGATATACTGGCAAAAGGACTGCAACAAGCAACGCCCCTGCAAGTTTGCATGGATGATGGTCAAACCCATCGAGCACCACCAGTCATACCCAGCCAAGCCCTGTCCGTGTCAGAAGGTTGAACTGTAGACAAGCCACACGTATTTGACAGGAACAGGGACTCTTTCTCTAATGACTGAAGTSAACTTACTGCCTGAGTATTCACCCAAAGTAACCATGATTTAAAATTTAAACTGAGCCTCTTGCAAGGGCTTTCTGATGACATTTTGTCCAGGACTGGACCATGTCACAGAAATATGCCAGCCACACAAGTGAGACACTGTCAGAAACTAAGGCCACATGATTTGAATAACCAGAAGATTGAAACAATTCATTTTATARTATTTTAGCCATAAGACAGATGTGGTATGAAATCCAGGCTATGATGTCTTGTACAACAGATACACCAATAAAAATGCATTTCAGAAGATTTCGCTCTGGTGCTAATATGCATGATTGATTGCACATCTATAATTGCACATCTTCATATATCATGCAGGGAAGAAATTTCCAGTTAAATAGCTACATTTACAAATGCGTATTGAAGAGCATYGTGTGCCATAGGGCTCCAACTGGCCTTTTCTTTCTAACTTTAGTGACTGGTATTCTAATATATAAAATTGAAATTAGCCTTGTCTCCCATGGCTTCCTTCCTCCTTCATTGACTCTTCTTYTATCTCTGCTTTTTAATGATTCCACATAAAATGAAACATTGAGTACAGGCTTTTCTTTTCCTCCTTCATTTTAGARCACTCAGTGCTAATGTGATTGTAAGCTTTCCCATTTAAAGCCACTAATCCAAAGCTTACAACTCCTCTGAATTTTCCCYCCAAGAAACCCAGTGAACATATTTTTTAAAGGATCAAATTGATATTTCAACTGTTTATTTATTCCTCCATCTCCCCCCTGAAGATCACTCCACTTTATTTGCCATTATTTGACTGTTACTTCTCCCTGTTCCATGATGTGCTTCAGCTTTTCTTTAATACTTCTGTGAGAAAAGAATGTTGCCTTTATTTCACATTTACTAGTTTCAATTGTTTTAGTACTCAACCTTCACATTAATTAAGCAGTGCCTTTTTTCTAATCGTAAAATAAAGAAAATATAAATTATTCTGTTTTAAAATAATAAATAAAACTATTTAAATTTTGGTAACATYGAAGACCTTGTTTCCTTTTACCACTGTTTGAGTTGCTTCACACATTTCTGCATCATTGGAATAACTGAATGACAACTGAAGAGTTTTTATTGTTGCATTATACAAAATGTCAGGATAATAATAAAATTATCATGTATGCTTTCTTAGATATTTCAGTTAAAGAAACTCAACCAAGAAATGCTGTCAAATTCCTGCTTTTTAATTTAAAATACTATCTCATAATTTTGATGAAAATTGCTTCAGAAAATAAAGTATATTGTGTTTTGAGAGGACCAGGACTGTCAGGATTGCTTAAGATGAGAAATTAATTGGGAAGGAGAAAAGCCAAGAAAGCAGTTTTTATTTTTCATGATGCACTGCAACATTTTCAGAAAGAGATACAGCTATGTGAGGCCAACATAGGGCACGTGCAAATTTTGCAGCATCTGATTCTTTTCCTCCTGTATTTGTGTTCAAAACTGGAAGTGTGATAGGGGAAGAAATGGTTACTACCTGAACTGAGTTTATACCATTGAGTCAATTTAATGTGGGTTCTGCTATAATTCATTTAGGATGCCTCCAAAGTTGTGATGAGGATATAAAAAATACTGAGTGCTGCCAGTCTCACATGGCTTTTATTGGAATTCCTGGCCATATAGCTGGATTATCATGCACCTTCCAACATGTTTTTAATAATCTTGACACAGAAGCACAGAAGGGAAATTTCACAGGCTGCATCTGATCATCAAAGGCACGTAACTTGCCCTGCAGCTCACCCTTGGCCTGTTYTAGAGGGTTTTGGGGGAAAGGACTCTGTAAATGAAATGTATGAATTACCTGATCAGAGTCCAAATCCAGCTGCCCACTTTTGGAGGGACTCTCGTATTAACTGGAGCCCTACAAACCTATGCTGACACTGAATTCCACTGCAAAAATTAGAATAAAATGTAATAAAACTCATAACAAGAAGACTACTAGTAAAAAAACTGAGACATTTAATGGAATTCAGGGACTGAGCTGCATTACACATTTCTAAACAAGTATGGATGGAAATTACTATTGGGGCTGGGTTTGGGACTAAGTACTGGATGAAAATAAGTAAGAATATTCTAAAACATCCACCAGCAGGGAATCTTTAAAAGTAGACTAAATTTTACTTCCTAATTACTTAGCAAAAGCCTATCTTAACTGAACAGATTTCTTTTCTTCCATTGCTGAACCTTAATCAACAAGATACCCAGAACAATACTGAAGTCACCTGGCCTTCAACACTGAATCAGTGAAATCACAAACTGAAACATTTAAATCTAACCACAGATTTAAAAACACGACAAAGTGGTTTTAGGGGCAAGTTGCCTATTGATGCAATAGTGTGCATAAAAAATTAACTACTTTAGCTGCATGGCCTCATTTTTTCCTWGTAGAATTAACAAGCAGTCCTTTAGTCACTCTCATGTCCTTTGCATTTCAGAAGGCATCAGGCCACAGAGAATAGGGGGCTACAAAGCTGAATGCAGCTGTGCTCCACAGCTGGAATCCTCCACTCTACCCTCTTGCCACTCTTCCTCCTACAGCTACCTGATGAATTGCACCCCAAAGGAGGCCTAATGGGCAGCATACACCAAAAACAACTATCTGACCTCCACTTTGTCTAGGCTGCTACTCCACATAAGGAGTAAAATATAATTCATTTTATATCTTGGCATTGCAGGAATTCTGCAACCCAGGAATTGTGAAAAAACCCCAAACTTAAGGAGCCTACTGAAACAAGCCATCAGCAGCCAGGGTTTGGAGAAGTATCTTTGATTGATTTGAGAAGAGAAGAACATTTCTGAAGGATTTGAAATGTTTGGTTTATTTGAGGAAGACTGACTTTGGTATATCAGCAGATACATGAAGAAACTWGTGACATTTAGTGACTAATGGCAAAAATACTGAGTAAAGGGCAGTGCTTTTACTGAGTGTAACAAACGCTGAAGTTCCTTAATCCTGAAGAATTACATTTACCAAGATAGAAAAAACAATTGTGACACCATCCCTTTCTAAAGCTACGAATAGCCATAGATTATCTCCTGTTTTATGGCATGACGTTATAATTTTTTTATTGTTTTAACTACTTATCAATATGGGGTCACTATTAATAAAATCATAAACAAGAAACTTATTTAAATGGCTAAAGTTCAAGATTTTATGACACTTGACTATCAAATGTAGGCGGAAGAACATTTCTTACGGGGTTCAAAAGGAAGAAATGGACATTTGGGGGGACAACRTAAGAAACACAGTGGCCTCTTACTGACTTGCTAGGGGTAAACCCAAGTAGTTCAGTGCAAAGACACAGTATTCTTTTTCAAAGTTAAGGTTTAGCATATGTTTCAAAACAGAGAAACCACTGATTACGCAGCAGCTGCAGGAGCATTACAGGAGCTGTCCTTTGCAAAGATCTTCATTCTAAGTAGTCACAGAAAGTGCACAACTGTATCCAGGTGTTCTACATCTGTTAAAAAATTCTGGGAACTCTTCCAACTACTTATCTACAAACATTAATTGYATTTGCAAAAAGTTGATGTCAGTGGAGTCTGGATAAATCTGGATAAGCTGATAAATCATGGAGTCTGGAATATATAGGGAGGTTGGCATATATGAAAAGGAAGAGACAAAAATCATACCCCCAGTTTGCAGGAAAATTCAATACTTGAAAATATAAAAGGAGCTGGGTATCTAGAAAGCTCAGTTAGGGATGTGTATTTATACATCTATATTGATAATACATACATTTCTATATATATGTATATGTATGAACCATGTATAACTAAAATGTAATTTTACAAAAACCATTTAATTAGTCCATGACAATAATCAATTACAGGATCTGTAAAAATTTCATTAGGACAGAAATACAGATAACAAGATTGTCCCACACTGCAGAAGTCCCACAACACTTTATAAAGGTACAAAATATAATCAAGTACTGATACTCTGATAAGGACCACATAAGTCTTTTTGTGGTTTTGACTTTTTTTAAGAATAAACATCCTACATAACAATAAAGCAATACACACCTCTTTATATATTTCTTGGTATTTACAATGCACTCGTATTTGGCCATGTAATCTCTCACATGGTTAGGTGTTAGCAGCATAATTTGAGCTTATATTTCAAAATTACATTGAACCAACATTGTTGCATCCATCACTGTGTATTCTAGTACATTTACTGAGCAGAGAGTCCATAACATTTACAGAACATTCTTGTTCAACAGATGCCGAAAGCAAAAAAAATTACCCCATTTAATTTCAATAGGAGCCAATGCTTCACTTTAGCCAGAACAGTGCAGCTAGCAGGAACTGTTAGTACCTCATAAATTTTGCTTTAACTACAGCTCATGCCCCCAGAGAGACACATTCATTTGCTAAAAATCAAGCATAGTTTACTGAATGTCTGATCTGATGTAATATAAAATAAACCCACCCTAATAACCAATTTGTACATAGTTACTGTACACAGGAAAAGCTCTGGATAGTGACAGAGCAAAGCTGATGAAAGGGTCTTAATAAAGACCTCTGTTTTCCTAAGTAATCATATGCTAATACACAAAAAATAACAGGCACAGTATGGTGCTTTAAAAAATCAATCGTGAAGTTAGAGAACATATTTTTACATTAGTACCCTGCTAATCTTTCACTGACACAATTTTACCCTGTGGACACTGGGGCTAAAAAAATGTTAATTACTTGTACTGTGATTGTTGACATGGAGTATTTATCTATCTGCAGGGAAACATTTTGATAGTATGATAATTTAATAAATTATACAAACAATTTCACTGAGAGCAATGATTCATGATAACTAATACATTCATGATAACTAACATTCATGATAACTAATACATTCCCTGAAATGTGCAACTGGGTAATGTCACCACTGCAACGTCCCACTAAAGTGTATAGTAGATTGTAGGAAGATTGTCCCAAAATAATTTTCCAGAGAATTTTTTATAGAAAGGCTAGAACTGAATTTGAACTTTGTGTACATGAAAATCTTCCTCATTTCTTCATAAACATTTGTTTTCTTTAGGACTTTCATGCCTCATGACTCCTGTTGCCATTACGTTTGTTTTCTCATGACCTTTTCCGRGGCTTCTGGTTTGTTCCCACCGCAAGGAGCCGGGTCACCAGCTCCATCCCCTGCTGMAGGCAGCCCCTCGCTTACCCACCCCTCGGTCAGGCTGCAGGACTCCTGCCAATCTAACACTGACATTAGGCAGGCACAGGCAGTTCAGCTCTGGTTCCCAAAGCCCTCTCAAATCTCAGCTAGAGGTCAGTCTCAGCTCATAACTAGGCCAGTATGACCCAGACCCTGAAGCCACAGCCACCAGAGGGGTTGACTCCTGCCCCAGTWCTGTAGCAGATGTGGCTCTGCTGGACCAAAAGAGAGTGCCTGAAAATAACTTACATTTCCAAGCACCCGATGTTGACTAGCATTTGTAAAGCTATTTAAAGACAAAGAATACAAATTGTTCTTRAAAGTTTTATGGAAACATTTAAAAGTTGCTTAAGATAATCTTTCCCCTCTAAAGGATGACAGTACTCTCACTGTTTATACATGGGGAAATGTAACGGAAAATTTTGGAGCAAGGTATATCACAACAAAGGAGATTGAGAAAAAGACCTTCCTTGCATTGTAGATAGACTGTGTCCATTATGCTTTACAGTCAGTTCTGATTGTGCCATTGTCACTATTGAATAAAATTATAAAATTTCCTTTAAAGGTACTGGCARGTAGAGAAATTCAGAGGTATTTTCTAACCATCATCTTTTTCACAAATTACAGTAACTTGCATGATGAAAATGAAATTGGGACTGGCTTCTTCATGTAGAAAATACATTTCTTCCAGTATGAACGCTTCCACTATGAGCCCTTCCTATGTGCACACAAGAGTCATCCTTAAAGTAGAAATTTTCTCAGTATTATATTCTCCTATAATGTGTGTGCTCATCTGGAATATTATGAATCTCCCTAACTATTCAGTATTGGGGATTACAGCATTTACCCCTTTAGACAGTCCTTGTTTCACCTCAAAAGCAGATGGTAAAGTCTGAGACAGAAGTAGCACAAGCTGCATTGCTCAGTACATTGAAAACTGAATAGACAATGCACCAGCAGAGAACTATAGGAAGAAACAGTTCTGCTCTACAGGGAGACAGACTGGGTGACCTGACATGATGACTGGATCACCATCCCAGTCCAATTTCTAGTAGTTTATAATTTACTCTACCTGTTTTCAAGCCGAGAGAAAGGACATAAGACACCAAACACAATAATTGTGATGCAATTCTACTGCATAGTCRAAAACAACCTGTGCTGCTCATAGCAGCCACTGAGTTTTTTATCCCAAGCACACTACTTTCATGCAAAATTTAGTTTCAGCTGATTTTTTTAACCACTAGACACAACAGCAACAGCTTTGAAAAGACAATTTGCTAGATACATCAATATCTGTATTTCCCCTTATTCCTTATACAAGAACAGTTATGGCAGTCTGGTATTGCCTTGCCAGTATAGTTTCTCTTCCACTTTTTTCTTTTTCCACTGGCAGAAAAGCAGCATCTTGAAAGTCTTCCTGAAAGTTTTATTACAGAGGGCATAACAAATGGGGTTAACAGTGCTGTTCACATAGCAYAGCCAATATCCAAGGTGCCACAGTGTCAGGGGAATACAGTCGGAGCAAAATGTGGAGATCAAAACCATGATATTATAGGGAGTCCATGTGAGGATAAAAGCCAAAAGAATGGCACTTAAAGTCTGTGCTGCCTTGCGTTCCTTTATCAGAACCATCCGTTTCCTTTTGGTGATTTGGTTGTTTATATTTGGATCCATGCTTTTGATGGAAGGTTCCTTTGACAGAGCAGCAGAACAAGGACTTATTTTTACTTTGCGGCAACCATTGTTGGCTTCTTGGGTGCCATCAGCCTTAACCACCAAGCGGAATTTATAGGCCACACATTTTTTACTTTTCTGGTCTTTGGCAGGTGACAAGAAGTATTTCTGGTTCTCAAAATCATTTCCTTCAGGCTGGTCTTTGACAACAACCTCTGTAGTCTCATTATACTCTTCCGCCTTACTTTTAGATGGACTTTTGTAAGTTACTTGGAAAACTGAGTCGGTGGCGAGTTTATCCTCCTCTTCTGAGGATGCGTAGCTGCTGCAGGTGGTTAACTGGTCAGCCTTAGCCCAGTCCATACAAGTGCTCGCTGCCTGAGAGGCCTTCGCTGTAGCTGATGTACTTCGGCTAGATGAAGACCAAGAAGCCTGACACCTCTCTCTTTTGACCAAGTTTTGTTGCTTGCAACTGAAGCAAGACTTCAGGAGAGTTTTCTGAGGCTTTATTGTCTCAAACTCTGCCACAGACTCTGAGCCCTGCAGTTCAGCGAGGTCCTTGGTGCGTTTCTCTGTCTCTTTATAAATGCGGCAGTACAGAATGGTCATCACAGACACTGGAATGTAAAAAGCAGCAATTGCAGTACCAAAGGTGATAATGGGTTCATACAGAAACTGTATCTGGCACTCTTCAGGTGGTACYGTTCGCTCACCCACAAAATACTGCCAGCACAAGATCACAGGCGCCCACAATATGAAGGAAATTAGCCAAGCCATACCAATCATGATGCCAGCTCTTTTGGGTGTGCGTTTGGCCCTGTAAGTCAAAGGCCTYGTGATAGAAAAATATCTGTCAAAACTGATGACGAGGAGGTTCATTACTGAGGCRTTGCTAGCTACATAGTCCAGTGCTAGCCACAGGTCACAGGCAAGGCTTCCGAGAGTCCAGTGGCCTATGAGTATATAGGACGTATAAAGGTTCATAGAAAATATCCCAATGATGAGATCTGCACAGGCAAGGCTGAGCAAGTAATAATTGTTGACAGTTTTGAGCTGACTGTTAACCTTAAAGGATATCATTACAAGAATATTTCCCACTATTGTTATTAAGCTTACAATTGCAGTTACAGTGGCAATAGTAATGACTTCCCAGAGGCTGTGCCCTTCTAACTGCTTATGGTTGATGGATGAACTGTTTACAACAGTAGAATTGCTGAATAAATTGACTTCCATTCTTGTTCTGTCATCAGGACCTTAGCACTGTTGCATATGGCTTTCTGTGCTCAGAAGCATCCTTTTGGAGATAGCTATAAAGATTAGAGGAAAAAAAAAGGAAATTTTAAGTAGCTGATTATATAGCACAGACTTCCATTAGTTACCATAAAAACACTTGTAAAACAACCTATTGCATTATCTGTGTTCTCTTTTTGCATTTTGATTGTTGTTTCTACTATTGAGACCATAACTAAAACATACAAACGTACATCCTAGGACAACGTGCTCTGGCATTTTATGACATTTCAAAATTAAATCTATTATTTCATAAGACAGTCAACCACACCAGTTCAMATACGTTAGGAGGCACTCTACATATTTTCAAATACAGACATGTAAAGTTTTGCAGTGCAATAAGACACTTAGTCACTGTGATTTTTTCCTACAGTAGTATTTAAAAAAGCATGTAAAGGTTTCAGAAATTATCTTTGAGAAATGCAGGGAAGTCACTAACAACAGAAACAGAGTAAGTGAAGATCAGGGATGCATGGGGAGTTAGGAACCACACTGGCTTGGTGACAGAAAGAAACAATTAGATGTTAGAASTGTTTGAGGCAATTGAGGGGAGATCTTTGAACAAAAGAAGCAGGAGATGTCAAGAAGATGTTCCTGAAAAGTAAGTTAGGCAGGAAAGACTCAATTAAAAAATCTTAGGACAGAGCAGACTGATGGAGTTAGGCATGGGAATATAGTCTGGGTGGTTTGGATGAGTGAATGGTAGGGTTGAGGATAGCAACAAGTAAACTGAAGAGGAAGAAGCAGTAGATAACAACAGTGGTAAAAAATGCGAATTTAATAACCAACTTTTAAAAAACGATTTAATACTTGAATAAGCAACAAAAGGTGAAATCAGAACCACTCTATCAATGCATATGTGCYGCTGACATCCCTTCCTTCCTACATTACTCACTGCTGGTTTTTTTGTGCCAGTGAATGCAGACCAGTATTCGGCAAAGTGTCTTTCACAGCTAGCTATTGGGTTTTGACTAATTCCATCACAGCGGGTGTGATACACTTGTTTGATACTCAATCTTGMAAAACTGTGTGATTCTGAAATAGTCAAATAATACTTAGTTTTCAAAGTCAGAAATTAACAGATTTTTGTATTGGGTATATAGCCTGCGTAAAACTGTTACAAACCCTTTTTTCAAAGCAGACACAGGTTCAGTCAAAATTATTACGTGAATCACCTATTAAAGTCCATTTCTAAGTCCTTAAAATTCTCTTTGTATTAGACCTCTATTAAATGGTCCTCCCTATCCATCCACACCACTTCTCTCTTTCATCCTAACTCTCAGAACATTATTTTCTTTGGTCTTGGCAAGTGTCTTTTATTAACTGCAAGTTTTTACAGCCTATCTCTTTCCCACATTTGTCTTTTGTACCAAGTAGTTGTGTCCTGTCTCTCATCAGCTGAATACATTTTTTTATAGCCACTAGTTGMACTTTCAGAAAAGCATACAATTTTCTTTCATTGCCCTGTTTGCCCAGGGAGGTCACCAACCCTGGACATGTTTAAGAGGTGTCTGGACATGGCACTGGTTTAGGGATTAGTGGTAGTTCTGGGTTGACAGTTGGACTGTATGATCTTAAAGGTTCTTCCAACCTTGATTATTCCACAGTTCTGTGATTCTTATTTGCTTTTATTGTTTTCATCACTTTTTTCCCAGGTCTCCTAAATATCCACAGAAGTGTTTCATGTTCCTCCTTCAGACCCTGCTTAATGGTGATCTCTTGTTGTGATGAAGCTGGATAATGGTAAGTTTCCTGATGTACTGAGACCTCTGCCTGTCGTACCTCTCAAAACGGTTCTCCTCCATCTGCGTTTGTCTGTCATCTCCCATTCTATATTTAAATGTTTGTGCATTCYGCTTATACACAGCATATATTGAACCGAATTCACCAGGATTCTAGTTCATGTACAGACCTTGCAGACTAGCTGTGATCACAGTACACACATGCTGACCATCTGTAYGCTTGGACCTCTCTCTCCAGCCTCGGGATCCAGTCTAGCAGCCAAGAATAACCAAAGTGCCATGGCAGCTCTAGTTAGCCTCATGCAAAGAAAGAAATTTCATCYTGGTTCTGCATTCTACAAAGACTTCCTCCAGCTCAGAGTGATCTTGATGGCTGGTGCACCAGCTTTACAAATCTTGGCAAAAACTTGAAGGTTAGGAATTCATTTCATGTGAAACAAAGGTGCGTGGAGAAGCTGCACGGCTGTGGTAGGTAGCTGAGCTGTGGGAGATGAATCTGCTACCTCATGTGGCTTGTGCTTCTTTTTCTGTGGACAAGCAAAGTTGTTCTGTGCATTAAAAGCTCCCTGTAACTAAATTTTCAAGCATGGCAGTGTGGTAGTGGTTTAGTGTGGCAATGTCAGGGGACAGTGAGGGCTGTTTGCTCTGTGAGGCAACAGGAACACAGTGCCAAGGCAGCTGGGAGCTGAGACCTGACAAGAAGCAGCAGGATGTGGAGAAGCACACTTGGTTCATGAGAAGGCCAGAGACAGTGATAGCCCAGTGCTTGCACGGAGAGCCTGTAGGGATGAGGCAGGTCAGGGACCAAGCCAGAAAGCCCAGCCAGCATGTCTGAATCAGGATTTGAGTCAGGACTGAGGAGGTAGGAGGACAGGTGTAGATGTAGCTGCTGCCTGGCTACAATGTAGGATAGGTGAGGGCCATCAGTAAAATCTCACTTTTCCTTTTCCCAAGGAAAAGGAGAGGGAGGTCATAATGTCTAGCTTTCTTCACCAGGTCTTATCAGCAGAGCAGCTGACCTTGGACTGTTGTAAGATATCAGCTAAGGCTAGAGATGGTCTTAAAAAGACACCAGCTATGAATGCCAGGTGCATAAATAAACATTGATGAACTACATTTGCCCAAGACATGGGTTTGAGCAGCCACGTAGAGCGATTATATTGTTTCAAYTTTCTGCCTTTTTTTTGCCAGAAGATGGCACTCCTCTCAGAAGAGGAAACACTAGAAATTGTATGGAAGCTGTGGCCTGTTACCCCTTGCCTCTGCAATAGGGAGCAAGTGTGTCCCTCTCTTAGGTCACTCGCACTCCCTTACATTAGAAATTAAGAAGAAAGACTACTGAAACTGTGCTAGGTGGATTGCAGACTTCAGAGGAACAAGAGAAGCAGAAATTGTTGTTGTTGTTGTGACACAATTGTTCTTGGTTTAAACTGATGTGGGTCAGAGAAACACTGATAATATGTTATGAAAACAACATAATTAATTTCTCAATAAATTTCTTAATAAAAAGCACTTTTATTATCATCATGCAAAGCCTTCCCTCCCTAATGGGCTATTTTACTGTGATGTTTGTAAAGTTGACAACAGCTGACCTAGAAATATGCAAAGATCTSTTCTTGGTATGTTGACAATTCTTATCATCTATTCACGTTCTATTATCTTTTGTTTCATAGGTCTGTGTTAACACTTTGTGCCATCTATTTATGTATCACTCAAGGCAATGGAGCCTGTGAGTGGGAYTTCTGTGTGCTATGGTAACATAATTTATGTTAATTGTCTATCACAAGAGACGATAATAATAGRGAGATCAAAATGAAATTACAAAATCAAAATGCATATGTACAGTGTCATGACTTGGCTATGTCTCATAATTATTGATTATAATGCTCACGCTTGTGAGTTGTAATGGTATTTGTTATTTGTTGCCAAGTAGTAATAATTTTTTTTTTCAATCTATCCATAAGTATTAATTAACGTGAGTTGTTAAATTTGTACATATAGTCAGCTTACAGTTATCTGCAGGCAGATTGTTCGTGTCACAGATTAACTGCATCACAGATGCAGGCACAGCTTGGGATCGCCAGGTTTCATTAGCCTCATCTCATTCTGGGTCTGTCAGACCTGTGCTGGCTGCATGAGAATCACTTGGATGCCTTTGCAACGTGCTTGCCAATGCTGCTCCCTGTTACTTTATTTATTTGCTTGTGTGCWAAACTAATTTACTGATTTGCTGCACACTGTGCCCCGGAACTCAGCAGCCCATAACACAGGTAGTTGTGCAGCTACAGTAAAACCCATGATTTCACAAAATGGGAGTTTGGATCACATTTTGCTGGAAGGACTACAGGGTTTAAAAACCCTTCAAAACCAGATTGATGTTTTAATGTGTTGTCAAATGACAGCATGTGTGCTCAAGAGGGATCAAGCTAGCTGGTGTTAGGAAACTGGTAAACTTTCCCGAGAACAGCATGAGTAGCTGCTTAATTTAAGAAGAGCGGGATAAACCCGCCTGGCACTCTGGTACAAAGCTGTTCCTGTGTCTGTTCCTGTCTCTGTGTCCTGAGAGAACGACGCTCCTCAAGAGGCTGCAGAGTCAATTCATGGGGCTCATGTAGTGCAGACTTCTGTGTAACACCCCGTCAGTCTGGGATCGGTTGGTCTTCCCCTCATTTGCTACGGAAAGCAAAGATCCTGCACTCGGGTTACAACAATCCCACGGAGCTCTACAGGTTGGAGCAAGTGTCTGGAAAGCTGCCTAGTGGAAAAGATGCTGGAGGTGCTGTTTGACAGYGGCTGAACATGAGCCAGTGTGTGCCCAGTGGCCCAAAAGGCCAGTGGCACCCTGGCCCGGATCAGCAATGGTGTGGCAGCCATCAACCCCCGCCCTGTGCTCGCCACTGCTGAGGCCACCGCTGGAATCCTGTCCAGGTCTGGCCCCTCGCTGGATGGACACTGAGCTGCTGSAGCAGGGCCAGAGAGGGAAAACAACAGGACAGGGAAAGGTCTGGAGCACAAATCCCACAAGTTGCTGCTGAGGGAGATGTGTTTGGTTAGTCTGGAGAAAAGGAGGTTCAAGGGAGACCTTTTCACTCTCTGGAAGCTGCAGTGAGGTGGGGAKTGTTGTCCTCTCCCTGGTAGCAAGTGACAAGAGGAAATCGACTCAAGCTGCACCACATGAAGWTTATATTGTGTATAAGGTAAATTTCTCCACCAAGAGGGTGGTCAGGCACTGGAACAGGCTGCCCAGGAAAGTGATGGAACCACCATCTCTGGAGGTATTTTAAAAGATACGTAGGTGTGGAGTTATGAACAYGGCTTAGTGGTGGAATTGGCAGTGGTGGGTTAAGAGCAGGATTCAGTAATATCAAAAGACTTTTTCAACSTAAACCATTCCGTAATTCATGTAGCTTTAGCTAGGAGTGCTATTTTCAAAACATTAAACACGTGTTTCTGTTTTTATTCACACACGTGGATGGCGATTTTCCCCTCCGCGCTCCTCGGTACCGGCAGAGGCTCGGGGCCAGGCCCGGCTCTGCCCACAGCCCGCCGCCGGCAGGGGGCGCTGCCCAGGCCGCGCCGCCGCCATTTGCCCGCGGCCCGGCGAGCGGCCCTTTCCGGCAGTGGGCGGGACGGGCGCGGCCCCGGCGGCCCGCGGGAGGCGAGCCCGGCCATGCAGG